ATTTTTATAGACCTATGCTTTTTAAACATCGATTATTTTTGTGTTTAGGTGATATTTATAATAAAAAAAGGTCAATCAAAAGGATCTATAATTTTCTGATATCCACAAATTCAATACTTCACACAAAAGTGACCAACGATGAAAAATAAATTCGAGTTTTCTTCAGTAAAGGAGCCTCTATAATTTTTGAATAATAGAATCAGGTAGTCCAAGTTTTGTTAATTCTCGTCATGATTTCTGACTTTGTCATATAAATCTAAAAATAAATAAATTTTACAATCTCCTAATTAAATCCCCTCCCCTATAATTAATCATTACTTCTTCAGTTTTAAAAACATCGATGTTTACTAACATTTTTAGTTTGGGGTCGATATTTTTAAAAACGTCGAAGTTTTAATTTTGAGCATCGATGTTTTATTGGCGATGTCGCATCCCTTGATCAGTTTGGGGAAAGAAACTATTTTAAACCGGGCGCGCCCTAATAATATTTGCATATTTAACATCGTATTATTTCGAATGCACCCACAAACTGGCTGCCAACTGAATTCACCTACTCAGTGAGTCATTGCGTACGACCCAACTGCGTCATGCCACACTTGGGCTCGAAGGAAGGGGCCGCCCGCCATTGCATATTTGTTAAAATATTTAATTTATTGTAGATTTATACGACAGTACTTCATTGTTGTTCTTGAGCAGTGTGCATGCTTTTGGGAAACCATTTTGGGTGTTTTTGTCTGCAGTATTTTGCTGCTGAAGATCACTGATATATTACAAAAATTAACTCTCGACTATTTAAAAATAAATATTAAATATTTTGATAAACTATATTAGCATTGCAGTTACTAATATAGTTGCAAAACATACATATTAAAATCCCAAACATAATACGATTCTTTACCAAGATCTCTAACAAATTGAATTCATGCATCTCGAATGAAACACCTCTCCTGATTTAAACTTGCTCAAATCACTTATTTCCTTGAAAGAATTAAAAACAGGTTCCGTACACACGCATTTTTTAACACTGAGCCCGAGTTGGAGAGTAAGTAATGCGCTTTATGAGTTGCCTTATCCTTGGGTAGTTAGATTTGGTATTAAGTTAGAACACAAGATTAATCTAAGCCGACAAAATTACGTAATGTAAAAATATTGCAATACTGAACTACGTACCCTGTTATTCCGACAAATAAAATTGAAAATGGAATGAAGTTGTGTCGTGAACGCATGCATCCGCGGGGTCGGAAGCGATGGCGGCGGGGCGACGAATACCTGCGCAGGTGTGGCGTGGCGGAGGGCGATTTGGGAGCGGGGGCGGCCGGGGGGCCTCTGGCACGCGCGCGAGCACCGCCCAAGCGCTTAGGAGGGCCCCCGCCCCCCGCCCCGACGTGCGATTAGGCGGCGATTCGTCCGCCCTGCCTCGCCCGGCGCGATGGACGCCCGCGGGCGCGTTTGCCTCCAACGACGCTCTACTGCACTGCAACTGCGCACGTGGTGCGTGTATCTTCTTTATTACAGACGTATTTACTTTGATTACACATTACACAGAGTAAAAGAGTTTCATTAATTGAAGTAAACATTGTTGACCAGAATATAGAGGACATGTAGTTTTGCAAGAGTATACTACTCGGTATCACTCCAATCTCATAGATTTTAATTTTGTCTTCGTTAATTTCCCCTAGGTCTTTCTAGCCAATTATACAGAACGAAAAATGAGATTCGAAGATTGAGACGAAAAAGGAAACGTAAGCAAACTTTCGCAAGAGACGCAGTAAGATAACCCATTGAAACCGCTTTAAATGACCTCAATACGTTACGTGACAAGGTTATATTACGACGCAATTATTCAGCACTAATACACTGTCCATATATAAAAAAACATGTGGAATTGAAAGACCTAATAGACCTACACGGCACAATTGCAGATGGTTCAACATAGGACTTCTTGACTCGGCCACGAGCTACGCGATTGCTATTTTCTGAACCATAGAAACACAATAATTGTTTTGTTTTACAGTGGGCAAATGAGAACGGAATTGCAACATTTGCATACTTCTTTACCGCAAAATGTTCATTTGATGCGCGAGTTTGATACGTAAGTTGACATGTAAATAGCAAATAATACACTTAATTTTGATAGAAATATCTAAACTTCACTGCATTACAACTAAAAGCTTTACCGTTTTCAGAAATATCAAATATCCAGTCATTATGTAAATTGTCGTCGAAATTAATATTTTCCTAGGTATTTCGTATAAACCGAGCAGAACGGCGCCGTGCAGAACGGTCCAAATTTTACGATTCACTTTGTGATCTCGTTCAGTGAGTAGTGAATAACATAATTTAAAATGACATCATCCAAATTAACTAAAATCGTAATCAAATAACCGTAATAAAAACTAACACTATTTGGCTTGCATGAAATTAATTGCATCATCACTGTATGTCCTGGGAATTATTTGAGAAATGAATTTACAGTAGCATTGAAACAAAATGCTAAATATAGTTCCACTATGAACTCCAACTTATTTATATTTAAACGAAGTAAATAGAAATTTTATTTAACGTTACGAATCTTGGAAATTTTGAATAAATAAAAAGCTTGAAATTCAGTGCACATCTACACACCCATTCACCGTCATAATCTCGGCCAGCGTCTTAAAACACCATCTCAACACTGGCCACGCCTTTCCGCCGCCTTCCGATTTCTCCCAGAATCCACGTCCGAGTGCGAGGGGAAATACCGTCCGCGTCGAACCCAATTACTGCGCGGATAACGGCGGCTTTTGAGCCCTGTTTTATTATCGTTTCCCGTTAGCCAACAGGGCATTGTTCTGGGCCAACAAGTGCGCTCGCGCGCCGAAGCCGAGGAAATCGAGCATTCCTACAGCTTTCCTACACGCCGGGAGGCGTCGTCGGCGCTTCCGGGACACGGGTCGCAGCGCCGAGCTCCTCGCCGGAACCGCAGCCAGCGCCGCATCCTCATTGCGGCTGTTTCGCGCCGAGCGCCCAAAGCACACGAGCCGGGTGCTCGTGTTTTTCCATTTCCATTGTCATAACCGGGTTTGCGTTACGAATGGCGTTTTTTTCCTCGCGGAAATATTTGACTCTTTATTACGAGTAGTCTCGAGAAAAATGTTGGTACAGTTTTTTTTTTATTAAGATCTACGTATTTTGGTGTCTCCGTATTTTCAAAACGATGTTTTTTGCATATTTTCAGGTACTTAATTCGTAGTCATTTAGTTATTTAATACCCTGCAATGATCGTCCATCTTCATTGCGGGGTTTCGCATCAAGCGGGCGCCGCATTTAGTGCTGGTTGTTTATACTCCTATGGTTCCATTAACATTAATATGACCAAATTTGGTTTGCGCAGGAGGCTTCTGTAAATAAGGCAATTATTGTTCTACAAATGGCACTCACTTTATTGCTTATGTAGTTTTGTAAGGGGTTGCCGAACCATTTATTAGAAAAAATCCATCAAACATTTGTGATTATACAATTTACCACACACTTCCAGTATATTCAAAAACTATTTTTTCACAAAAATTATAATATATTATTTGCACGCATCTAATAACTCACACTTTACTACTGTATTAATGAATATACATTTAAATACATAGAAAATTATTGTGGATGTACAGACAGGTGGAACAGATATTTTCCACCAATTTTGCAGCCACCGTTCTCTTTAATTCGCTACACCGTACTGCTAAAGATAGAAAAAAGAAACAATATCACTATGATTAAATTAAAAATAAATTATTTACAGTCACACGCAGTTGTTTTGACAAGAACTTCTAAAATATAAAATTATTTCATATTTTAATGTAAAATCTGATGACAATGTCACAGGCGTACTTTCAAAAGTTAGTAATATGTGAAAAAGTGTTGAAAAATGTGTTAAAATGACGGGGGGAGCTTCGTCTGCATTATATAGTTATCAGAGTTTAAATTCAATTTATTTCCTTTTACATTTTATCCCTTTCACGACCACGTCTACCAACAGTAGATCTCCGACATTTTATCATATTTATAGTAATTTTATTCGCATTACTTTTTTTCTTATCTTCTTACTCTACATGGAAATTCGGTCTCGCTTTCCTTCACATTCAGAACACCAGCCTATTACGAGCAAGGATCTTCCCCTTCTATCTCTGCTTTGCGAGCGATAAAGAAGCAATGACGATAATTTTATCGGCGAAGGAATAAAACTTGCGTAATTTTATCACCTGACATTAGGACTAAGGTCAATAAGTGAGGAAAATTAAAAACGTATTTCATGCGGTTTATGAGTGTCATATAGAAGGAAATGGATGGTAGAGTAAATAAGACTATTCTCAGGTTAATGCCAGATAACGCTGTCGCATTGTGGTAGATGCTATGATCAATATGACGCTGTTGTCTGGAGTATTCGTCTTAGAAAAAATACACTCCACTAATCACGTATCTTTTGGACAGTTCATTTCATATCACCAGCCGTACATGTTACACAACGAACGGTCCTTAGTGCTCAAAGTACGCCATACACGCTGAATGTGAAGCTCCACCTCTTGCAATGAATTAAAACTCCTCCCTCCTGCTTTCCATTTCCAATAGGAGTCAAACCAGCAATACCTCCTCCAGTGGCTTCCCTCGTATAACGAACTCAATGTAGGCCGAGGGCTTCGCGGGGGCGGAGCAGAACGGTTTCCCCGCAATAAGACGTCGGGCGCCCTCTGCAGCGGCGGCGCCCGAACGCAGAACGCTGCAGTGTAAACCAGGCTTTATCGCCCACTCGCCCCACTTCGGCCGCCGCCGCCGCCGACTATTCAATGATATTCGGGCGCCGAATGGGCAGATAAAGCGGCGCCGCGCGGGCGACACAGCCGCGCCAGCTCCTTCAAGGAGCCAGCCGGGCGCATGGCAGCAGCCACACTGGCCAATTGATTCCATTCACCAATTCTTTGTTATATTTTCTGACAAACTCCTCCAATATTGAGTAAACTCTTTATTTACTTTCATTCTAAAAGTTGTGTTAAAAATCTTATCGACATTGTACCTGTAACAACTATCATGTGAAATGAATGCCAGTTAACGAGAGAGACGCAAAGAATTCTTAAAAAACTATTTTCCCTTGTATCCCGTATGTGAATACACCGTAATATTGATTGTAGGGTATTATAATCATACAATTGCGACCGATTATTAGTTCGGTTTGAAGTGTTTTGAGTAGTACTATTTTAAGTAGTTTCTCCTTGAAAAAATACATATATCATTGACGTAAAAGCGGACCCAGCAGGTTTTGTAGGCACCATGACTCTATCAAGTCATCTCATTTCAATAAGAAAAAAAATATCAAAATTACATGAGTGAAAAAAGGGAAGATTTTCCGAAGAGAAGGCTCGCACAGGAGGGCGGTGGCGCAGCGCGGGCGACTGTGCTGCCCTCCCACAGGCTCCGCCCACGGCGATGCGTGAATATAGTTTTCGGGCGCGTCGACCACTTCGGCCATTAGTCCCGTAAGTGTAGTACATTCCCTATCCCGGAAGGTGGCGGTATTGGAAAGTGAGATCCGGCGTTGATCCACACGTCGGCTGGTAAGTTTCCCATCCAGGTACCTCTCCAGCAGGGCACTGCACCAGTCGAGAATCCTTGAAAACCCCCCAGATGTATGTAAGGAGAGTGATTGAAGGCGTAGATGTGTGTGTTTAGGGAGAAAGGAGGTGAGAACGAGGAAGGAAAGAAGGACTAAGAACAATCCCTCTCCACTTTAAAGGACTGCTTCAGCACTTGCCTTCTGTTGACCGGAGAAAACCCGAGAAACTACCGTTTAAGGAGCCGGACGGTACGTCTCCCCTCCAGACAATAGGTTGATTGGACTCAGCAATGTACCAGCGCAGACTTTCGCGCCAGACTCAGTAGCTGCTTGGCTGTCGAGAAGACACCGCGTCCGAGGCACAGGTACCGACGTTTCTGCTGCATTTTGTCCTGAGGAAGGCCGTAGAATGGCGACCGAAACGGTGACCCCTATGCCTAAGACGAGTGCGCCGCGACGCCGCCTGCGGGTTCGCGCCGCCCGCGCGTTCGCGCCGCCGCTGCGCGCCGCCTGGCTGCG